AAACACAAAAAATAACACAAAATTAAACAAAAAAAGCCCTTCCCACAGCAGTTGAAACAAGCCGAACAAAAACTACGCCGACACCCACGGGCAACCCACACAGACAGAGACCCAGTCTATATCACGAGGCCAGAAACTGCAGAATAAACGCCTAACTAGACTCGAGACATAAACCTTGCCCCGCCCAGGTAGACAACCCGAGACCCGCAACCGGAGATCAACAACAAGCTCTACCATTCTAGCCCCGACGACCAAGGCCCAGGCCACAAGACCCGACCCCGAATCCACCAATGCAACCAAGAGACAGCAAAAGCAGAGAAATCGGGAGAAAGAAGGGGAGCGGAACCGCCTGATCCCAGCCTGACCATCCCATAAGAGACGATCGAAGCCACAGCCCTTAATCGCAGACTCGCCGAAAACTCGCCGCCGGGGAACCGCCGGTCAAGACCCTCCATGGCAACCTATTAGAAGGAGAAAACCAGATTGGGAGAATCCGTCGTTTCACCCGAGAATAGGGAGCCACCAGTCCAACGAGCCTACAATAGCCGGCCGCACAGTCCGGGGATGACCGGCGCCGAGATGGCCTGGCGAGGCCCTGCTGGGTAAGGCAGGTTCACGGCCGAACGAGGGTTTGGTTGATTGGGGACTTTTTCTTTCGGTGAGAGAGAGAGGAAAAGTTCGATGAGTCAACCATTCAGTGTATCTTTGAATTCTAAATCAGTAAAACGATATCACAATTTTTGATACAGTAGTATTGAGTCAATCATTAATGAAATTCATGAGTTGAGGGAACGTTCAATCTAAATTTGTTAATTAAAAAATATATATCTCCCCTCGAAATAAATGTCTGGATCCGCCCCTGGTGGTTATGAAATCATGTAACACTTCTTTTCGCCAATAACGTACTAGTCCTACTACAATGCCAAAACGTGATTGAAGAACTCCAAATGCACGTTCAACGTCTTTTCTGCATGCTTCTTGTTTCATTGCAAAATATTTTTTCTTTAGACCACATGGCTCATGAATTGTTTGCACAATGGTAGACCATTTTGGATATATGCTATCAGCTAAATAATAACTCATGTTGTATTCTTTTCCTTGAATTATATAATGAGCTGGAGGAGCAATACGTTGGGTTAGATCCGAGAAAAGATGAGATGATTCTAGAACGTTGATATCGTTGTTGGAGCCCGACAAACCAAAATAAGCATGTCATATCCATAGTTCATAATCGACTACAACTTCAAGAGTGATTGTAGGCTTTCCACTACGACCAGCATATTGGCTAGCCCACGCTGTGGGCAATATTTCCACCTCCAATGCATGCAAGCTAAACTACCCTACATTATTGGAAAACCACGTTGTTGACCAATATATAGAAACTTGGAAATATCATCAGATATGGGCCTCCGCAGGTATCGCTCGCAAAATACCTCAACTATCGCTCGACAGAACTTTTTCATATTTTCAATTGCAGTAGACTCACCAATTTTGACATACTCGTCTGTAGCATCTGCTGGAATGCTGTATGCCAACATACGAAATACCGCAGTTATTTTCTTGCTCTATGTGTACACATCTAATCGTCGGGACAAGCCTATTCACGGGGGACCAACCGTCGGGACAAGCCCATTCACGGAATGAGGAGACTAATTGTCAGGACAAGCCATTCACGGGAGATCAACTCAATAGACTAATGATTCACATACATCAATTGATTATGAAGCCAAACAATTATAAAGAATAACGAACATGGTAAAGTTTATCAACATCCACCTGATTAGCCGACAGGAAAGTAAATAGCACACAAGCTCGGATAGGTCGGTGAGGCCCGACTTCCTTAGAAACCTACATTTTAAGTTAAGATAATATCTCAAAATACTTATCTCGATTACTCAGAAATTTCAATGAAATCATACTTTGTCAAAAATTATCGATTAAGTACGTGGAATTTTATGGAATTTCGAACTCTCGAATGTAAGGGAAGAACTGGGAAAAATATTTTAAAGAGACTAAAAATGGGTTCGACATGAAAAACGAGGCCAACAATTTGAAAATTGATCAAACGGCTCGGGAAAACGGATTTCGAGGTCACGACATCGGCACGGGCGCGAGCAGGCCAAGGGCTGGCCGCTGGTGGCTCGTCGGGGGCTGCTGGGCGTGTGCGAGTCGCTGTTGAGGTGGCTGGGCACAAGCTGGTGGCTGCTAGGCGCGTTGAGGCTTGTCGGCTCGGTGTGCGCAAAGGTACGCAGTGCGCGGCTGGCACGCGACCGCCGCGGCCTGCCCGCGTGATGCGGATGTGGTCATTGACCCCGGCGAACCCGAGGACGAGAACCACGATGGCCTCGAGAGATGGCGAGAGGTTAGGCGAGAAAGGGCTCGGGCACGGGCTAGGAGGGTGTGCGCACGCACTAAGGCGCGTATACCGGCGGGATGCGGCAATCGAGCCGCGAGGCGTGCGAGTCTAGGCCGGGTGAAGAAGAGGTGCGCGACGAGTAGTGCGCGTGAACACGAGGCTTGGGCCGACGACGAGAGTGAGAAGATTGTACCCGGGAAGGTGGGTGAATGGTGCAAGGCGTGCGCGAGGGATAGACGTGCACGACGAATGCAAGCTAAGGCCAATAGTGCACGAGGGGTGGATGTAGGGTGGACATCGTGCATAGGGCGCGGCTGCGAAGGAGCGGACGCGCGAGTGGGTTGGGTCGAGGCGATGGACCCGATAAGCGGGTGCGAGTGGGGCGCGATGATGGGAGTCACGCGCGAGGCGCTAGTCGAGTGGGATGATGAGGTTGACGAGGCGAGCGTGTACGAGAACCGCGCAGGTGGTAAGAACGCACGGGGAGCGTTGAGCGATCGAGGAAGTGAGACCGAGCGAGTGGACGTGCGAGGCACTCTCGCGAGGGACGAACACGCACGGGCGCTGGGACGCGAAGACGTGACGCAGGAAGGACGCGCGCGTGTGGCAGGGACGCGAGCGATGCCTTGCGCGACCAGGACTAGCGGGCGGTGCGAAAGGCGCGCGCGCGTTACCACGCGCGAGG